TTATCCTGCTTTCTTTCACTTCTGGTCCAATCATCCTTCTCAACTACCTGTCCAGGTGACCCACAACAACTTCAGATCCACCACAAGATGCCAGACCAATAGCTTTTTATAAACTTCTCCAGCACCCCCCACACCTAGATAAGTTCTAATCCTTGCAATAATTTCCTCATTTCCTATCACTCACAGTCGTTCTGATCTTCTGATTGAACCCTAAGCAATACAATATCCAAGTGAGGTGTCAGGTAGGTAGCTAGATATGAGTGTCTCAAGTGTGAGGTAAAGTTTCCAGCTGGATGTATAAATATGAGAGTTATCAACTTATAACTGGTATTTAAAGACATGGATTATGTCACCCAAAGAGAGAGCATACAAGTAGAAGAAGAAGAGGTATAAAAACCAGGCCCTGGAGCACCTCATAGTAAAGAAGTCAGGGAGGAAACAGCCAAGGACACTGAGAAAGAGCAACCAACGAAAGAGAGGGAAAACTAGAAGAGTACAGAACATTTAAAGTGAGGAAGGTGTATCAAGGAGGATGCAATGATCACTTAGGTAAAATGCTGCCAATTGTTAAGACTGAGAATTGATTACTGTGTTAGTAATACCAAGGTTATTATTGATATTTTCAAGAGTGGTTTGCTGAAGTAGCATGAATAAAAGTCTGACTGCAGTAGACTTCAAGAGATAAGATGAGGATTGGAGAAAATAATTCTTTTGGGAAATGTGTAAAGCAAATCAGAGAACTGGTGAGGAAAAAAATGAGGTCAATTAAGAGTTATTTTTTTAAAACCGGAGAAATAAAGACTGTTTTCTGATGGAAAGGAGAAAAAGAAGGGAAATACTGTATGACAGGCAGCATTAAAGGCCTGCTTGAGGACTGAGGTCATGAATTTAAAATGAGACCGTGTAGTGTGAGTATGTGTGAGCCAGGCTCAGCTGCACAGATGCAGGAAGAGAGTAGAGTGATGGTAGTATTTCACCAGACTTGCGGTTTTGATAAATAAGATGAATAAAAAGAAGAATATGCCAGCAAGGAAGAGGCTTTATGCAAAGGATTGTAACAACTAGCCATAGAATTTTAATTGGGTAAGTGGGAGTGAAGAAGAGATGGGAATGAATAAAGAAAAGAATAGGTGATAAAATCAATGGAATGGAGGTCTCATGTGGGGGTCTTCATTTTGAAATGAAGGTGCTAGGAGTGAACTGGAAAGATAAGAAATGGAGGTTAAAGAATGGGATGAGTGAGATGCATGGAGTTCTGGAGTTGTTGGTAACAATATGGAAGTGAACAGTTGAGATAGGGCTGAGGACAAGATCAATAACTAAAGATACTGACAAACCAGGATACTGCAAGAATTACATATGCACATATTGACATCAATAAGAATTAATGCGGGGAAAATGTTGAAAACAGTGATAGTGATTCAGGAGCTAAAAGTGATCAAAAAATGGGGGAGCTTGACTGTTCCGATAACTTCCTATTCACTCCATTGATGAAAGAGGGCTTTCCTGCCTTAAATAGTATGAGGCAGCTGAACACAAGATACCCAGCATTGGACAGATGGGATTGACAGCAGCTTATCATTCACATATACTCACAGCCCTGGCCACTGTATGCCCTCCAGAACAGGACCACACAGGGGTTGCACTCAGGAATTGAGTGAAACAGCAGAGACTGTGGGAGGCAGGCTTTGTAGGAACAAAAGGATGAGGTGCCCCTTCATTCTCATGGGAGGACATAACTGGCTTATTTGAATAATTTCACAGGCTAGCAGGCAAATGAAACTTGTAAGATTGAACAGGAGGAGTGCAGCTGTCTGGCTGGTAAAGGAACTAGACGGATGGGGAACCTTTCCCACTGAGGAAGGGGTATATCTCGTGAAAGCAGGGTAATTCATGGTCAAGCTTCTGTGGCACTGTGAGACTCAGAGACGTCAAGGTAGCACTTGAAATTTTACACCTTACAACGCACTTGACCCAGGTTGATGACTTCAGCAACAAGAGGTAGTGGGTGACATCAGTCTGAAGGCATGGGATTTAAAGCAATCTGATGGCATGGACTTCAAAACTGGGAGATTTTAGGGTAAGGGAGAAAGTATGCAAGAAGTAATGAGGGCAACAGAGGACATCTTCCCTACCCGCAATGTGAGAGAGGTGCAGGAGAAGCAGAGACCTCAAAGGAGATGCAGATTTCAGTTAAGGATAAAAGATTCAGTGAGGTTGTGCATGAAGGTTTCAAGGTGGATACTGGTGGCAAAACTGACTACTTAATGGATAGGGAGAAAGAGGCAGAATCTGGTCTGGCTCTGTCCCTTATTATTTATTAAATCTGGAATTAATACCTGGACTTCACTCTCCACGTATATGAAATGAGGGAGTTGATTGCTTTTAGCCTATAATATAAGATTTTAGGCCGAGCATAGTGGTTCACACCTGTAATCCCAACACTTTGGGAGGCTGAGGCGCATGGATCACCTGAGGTCAGGAGTTTGAGACCAGCTTGACCAACATGATGAAACCTCGTCTCTACTAAAAATAAAAAATTAGCTGAGCCTCTTGGCACTTGCCTGTAATCCCAGCTACTTGGGAGGCTAAGACATGAGAATTGTTTGAACCCAGGAGGTGGAGGTTGCAGTGAGACAAGATGGTGCCACTCCACTGAAGCCTGGGGGATAAAGAGACTGTCTGTCTCCAAAAAAAAAAAAAAAAAAAAAAAAGGCTTTAGACAAAGTTTGCACATCCACAGTATCAGGAGAATGACTTGCCCAATCTGGTGCCGCACCATTAGTCCACCATGGCTATGCTTAGCCCACCCAATATGAAATGCACACTTTTTGTTAGCAGAGCCAAGTCAGAGTTATTCAAGGCCATTCCTTCTGTTCAATTTGCCCCATTTTGCTTCTGAATCTTTTAGTACCAACTTTACTTCTGACTCTTTTAGTACTAACTTTACAAGGCTTCCAACTTCCCTCCTTGCCTTGATCATTGGGTTTTCTGCACACATCTCTCTTCCCCACTATGATTGTAATGCTCCAGGGTTCTGATTCTCCACTTGAGTCTTCATCTCACCCCTGTTAGATCCAACTCAGAGTCACCCCAGAAAGCCTCAGTTCCTCCATAGCCAAGACACTCCCAATGCCAGCTTGGGTAAGACTAATCCCAGTTACCACATTCTTAAATCTCCCTGGCTGGCCTGTATTTGTTTACAATGGGAAGGAATTCTCTCTGTCTCCAAACACAGACACCCTTTACAAAGCACAAGCAGAGAGGTTCTGCCCATGAATAACCTGAGATACAGGGTGTAAGCTCTGGAGCAGAAGCAGCCCTGGTTTCCAAGGCAGTCTGAGTTCAAAGGCTTTTCTCTTCTTCCCTTGAGCCGGTGCTTTTCCTTTCAACAGTCTGCTGATGCAAGAAGTGGTTCTTCAGCTAGCAAGTCTGCATAACATTACAGGGAGTTCACAGGCTTTCTTAGACCCATCCAAAGATGGGTCATCTTACAGTTTCTCTAACTTGGCCAGAATTCCTTCGTGGGGATTTCATGTTCTCCTCTTCGGAGAGAAGATGAACACCCAGAAGAGGGTGGAAGGGCTCCATTCCCTTCCCCATATCAGGAAAATGAAATTCCCAGGACAGAGATGGGGAAAAAAAATCACATCTCAATCCTTGGCAAAATTTAAACTATTAGGCTTGGTATATCCTGTTTGGGTAAGGAAAAAAATTAAACTCTATTCCATACTCCACCTCCCTGCACCCCCCAAAAAAATCACATCCTCATGAAAGAGTTCTTCTGAGAAACTTATCTTTTCATATCTACAAAAGTACATCAAATATTCCCCAGACAGTCCTACTACCTCCTCATCTCCACCCTAGCCAGCCCACACTCATTTTTAAAATTTCACTCCTAGCTTATATCCTGCCCATTAGCAGAATTGTGATTATGGAATTAGGCTGAAACCGTGTCTACATTCCACACAATCTCTAACACATTGACACTTGGTCATTGTTATTAATGACACTAATCGTAACATTTATTCTGCTTAAGAATGTATAGCATGACATGAGGTTGCAAGCTTTCTAATTTTTTTCGAATTATTTATAAACTTTTACATTCTGTGTGATCATCAGTTGTCTTCAAAGGGAACACTGGCATTTTCTGTTAGCAGCTGCTCTGCATGAAATTGGTTATCTAATATGTCTGGTTAACAAGTCTCTCTTTGACATTTAATGAGCTGTAGTGATTTTACATTCAGGTATTTCCCTATTTACTTGAGGGTAAAAGTCTGTATAAAAGCTAAGTTAGTGGATTTGATTATGAAAACCAAGGAGACTTTTACAGATAAGTGGAAAGCAAAAAGTATTTTTTTTAACTCTGTCTTTTGAAGTTTCAATGTCCAGCCTTTCTTTGGAAACATGGTATTTTACTTTCATATTTTTACTGGTCACAGTTTTCTTTGAAATGCATTTGTCATTAATTAAATGCTTTTGCCATGATTCCATCTCTATAACCATGAGACATTAACTGAAGAGCAAAAAGCAAAGTGTCTATTCCATTTTATTAGAATAGAACTAGATCTTCTAATTAAGATAGACTTGAGTTTTCTATTTTCAAAAAAACATCCTTCAGTTTATGTTTATGAAAACTGTGTATCCAACCAGCAAATATTTCTGCATATATTGAAAGAAAAGCATAATTCACAGGTCATTAATCCACCTAAGTCCTCAAATACCATGCTACTGGTCATTTGATTTTATGCTAGAGTGGGTTTAGATGGTGAAACAAAAAATATTTTCTTGATTCTCCTTCCTCCAAAGGAAAACATTACCCAAAGCTGCCAAGGAAAATACCCCAAATTACCTCTGCTGTTATGCAAGAATTCCTATCTTTGCACAGTTATGGATATAACAAGGACAGAATTTTGAAGGACCCAAACACTTCCTCCTAAAATATATTCTTGCTAGTATTCTGCTTCAGATCAAAGTTTAAATCCTAAGCAGTGACTTACCAGGCTTGCATCTGCCAGCTCCTTGAAGAGGTTCCACTTTGGTTTTGAGGGATTATGTCTGAAACTTAAAATATAAAATGCTTTCAGTTAAGCTGCCTGGCATGATTGACTTTGTTTATTCCAGTTATTCCATTCCAGTGAAAATTTCAATCCCTTCTCTCTGTAAAAATCTTCAAATTATTTTCTTCCTCATTCTCCTTCTCTCCTAGACTTCAAGCCATGGATGAAAAACACACGATCTTAGCTCACTTGTTAAGGAAAAGGTAAAAAATGTACATGTAATCAAGCATATGAGGAATTGTCAGTTGCAAGATGATTTAAATTTCTTCCAGTGGATATAGCTAACCCTATTAGCTCTCTGCTTATATATATTTGGGAAAAGAATAAGCTTTTTCAGTGCAGGAATTATATAAATGCAGGAAGGGACACTTCTGCGAGTCAGAAAGAGAGAGAAGAGGAGAGGATTCGAAAAGGTGCCAGAGGGTAATTGGACTCTGACTCTGACAGGAAGTGCACTGGTTAGCTAAAGTTAGAGAAACAGTGGCCTCTGATGGCGCTCCAGATGTCACACCAATTACATATGGTACAGAAACTTGCAGTTTATTTTCACAGTCATTCAAGTTAAAATACGAGATGAGAAGGTTGCAACAGAAAAGCCATCTTGGGCCTAACTGTTTCCTTTCTATAAACAAGGTCAAAAGGTCTCATTTTATTATTACCCTCTGTCCTTTCTTCCCAGCACTGTTTATTTTCTGCCTCCTATTTTAGAGATGCAAACATATTCTAACAACATTCATCTTTAAAAATTTTCTATCAAAATGGAAATTTTTGTTTTCTTGCTTCCTCTATGTTGATATAAGCAAACAATCTTACAGTGTTTATTTTGATAATCGATATTGAACAATATCTTACAACTGGGAAAAATCCTCCTGCTTGATAGGGAACAGTGTTGCCCACTGGCCACATAAAATATTGGCTAGAATTCCAGACACTGGGTAGTGAGAAATTCAAGTTCTTCTTCTAAGCACTGTGTTCATTTATTTTCTTTTATGCCATTTTTACAAATGTGAGTACAGCCAAGAAAATTAGCACATGTGGGTATACCCAAAGACTAATGACAAGCTGATCCTAAAGAAAACCAGACAGAAAGACTGAACTCTTGATAAAGGGTTTTTCTGGCCCCTTAGTCGGACTTGCAGCCTCATCTAATCGGCCCACCGCACTCTGCCCCTGGAGGGAAGGAGCATTATGGCTGAGCCAGTGACAAGTCAGCTCTCAGCACAGAGGAGAGTTGGAGAGAGGAGGGGAAGGTCATCTTGTCTTGATGTAGCTGAATCTGGGGCTAGGGGAGTGCATGCTAATTGGTTTGTGAGTATGAAAAAAAGGGTTAAAACAAGGGTACCAGTAAAAGGTGGGCACAGAGCAAAAACAATTAGGGAAGGTATTACAAATAGTTGAAGAGTGGGGCTCAGTCAAAGGAAAGCATGCCAAACGGGAAGACAGTTCTCAGTCCAGTCTGTGGCTTTGGCTTGTAGCTTGGCATTCAGGCTTTGAATCATTTTTGGCTTGAAGGTGGGGTTTCACTGGGGACCTGACCCCCCATGTCTGCCTAGGATTTTTCTGCCTCCTGCCTCTATCACCCCGACTCTTTCCAGATTTGGTATTTATTGGGTTTGCAGAGACCTCTAGTGTGCTTCATCTAGTGATAAGCTGGGGTGACACCCAGAACAGACAGTGATGGTGAACTTGGCAAAGCCAATGCAGATTGTAGGGAGGGAAAAAAAAACATTCGAGGGGAGTTTCCTGAACTTTGGGTAGCATATATTTGGTGGAATAACAACAACACAGGAAAATGTAAAATAAAATCAAAGATAATTGAAGTGGAAGGCTGCGTTTGCCAGAAGTTTGCCTATTAGAGATAGTTCTCCTAGTTTTTATTTTAATAGTACAAAATCACATGAAAAACACGTTTAGCAAGAAACTGAGTCAAAGGCAGTTTTACCATTCCATAGTCCCTCAAATGAGTAGTGCTGTTGTGTTGTATTATCTGCTCTCTAAGCACAAAAACAAATTACCATGAGTCAATGTCAAGATATTAACATAATTATTCTGCTGGTTTTCTATTACTGTTTTCCTCAAACGCACATTTGCCTAAATATTTCCTAGACATATTTTATGTAGTTTTATATAAATTCATGAAAAATTCTCAACACATGGATGTTTCATAATGTCACTGGATGGTGGATTTTCATTTATGTCTAAATACACATTTATTGAAAATATTTTGCAGTCCTAATGGAAAACCAAGAGGAATCCTAGTAAAGGTCTCCCTGAAGTTAGCAAACCTAATGAAATATTTTGTACACTAAAACATTGCTTTCATTTGTGACATAAATTCATTCTTATCTACTTCCTGAGTTGATTTTGTATTTATTGGAGCTGTAAACAGCTCCCAAAAGTCAGCCTACTTCACTGACAAGGACTCTGATTTCCGTTCAGTTAAGGCAGCTATCTCTGCTTTGTTATTGCAATGTTTTATCCTCTTCTCTCTTTTCTGTTCTCTCTCTTCTGTGAAGGTCATCTCTCTCTCTTAGCCACGTCTCAGAATCCATTCCACTTCTCTGATACTTTCTAAGTCAGACAGAGAATGATGCTACTTCTCTATTCATTGTGATATTTTATTTTGAAAAAGTTATAAGGGACACATCTAAAGATTTTAAGTAGTAGTAGATGATCTCATGTCTTTCTTTTTTTCCTAAATATTTCTTTCTCATTATAAAGGCTTATTGTACAAAATTTGGAAATTCCAGAAATGTACAAAGTACAAAAATGGTAATAAAGATCAGTCACATTATCATCAGCCAGAGAACTCTCAACCAGTTCTTTTTTGCCTATTCACGTATTTATTTTTAGTAACATTTGGATAGCACTGTGTCCTGTTTTTCAACCTGTCACTATATTATGACTATTTATGTCTCCATGTTCTTAAATGTGATTTTAGTTTCCACATAATACTCATAATTTGTTTTATTCTTCCCCCATTATAGAACATTTAGATATTTTCCAGTTATTCATTACTTTAAATATAATGTTATTGAGAACACCTTTCTTGCCATTTTAAAGTTATCCTTCTTAATTAAGATAAATTGATTATTCCAATAGTTCTATACACATAATTTCAGTCACTTACGGAGGATGAGGGGCCTAGAGAGACTCTATGACTTGCCTGAGGCCATATAACTAGTTATTGAAAATGTGGAATTCTTTAATATTTTCAGTTTCTTTATCTATCATGATCAAACCCTAGGCTTTTTCACTGTCTTTTTAAAAACCAATTTTGTTCCATTTTTATGTCAATTCCTGCCACTGTATTTCCATACATTCCTTGCATCCCCACCCAAAAGCCACCTGTCTGGTCCCTAGGGCTTCTTTCTTCCCATTTGCCCTGCACACTACTATCAGATGATTCAGATGATCTTCCTTATGTCATTATCAGGTTCAAAAAGTTCATTGACTTCATGGTGAAACCCTGCATGAGATATAAACAACTTGCCTGACTCCCAAAGCTCCACTTTTCCCTCCAATCTTTCCTCATCCACTCCCACTTGTCTGCTGTTCACTATCCCATTCCCAGCTTCCTGCCTTCTTTTTATATTTCTTTTTTCTTTTTTTTTTTCTTTCTTTTTTGAGACAAGGTCTTGCTCTGTCGCCCAGGCTGGAGTGCAGTGGCACAGTCTTGGCTCACTGCAACTCCACCTCCCTAGTTCAAGCGATTCTTCTGCCTCAGCCTCCCAAGGAGTGGGGATTACAGATGTGTGCCAACAAGCCCAGCTAATTTTTGTATTTTTAGTAGAGACAGGCTTTCACTATGTTGGCCAGGCTGGTCTTCAACTCCTGACCTCAAGAGATCCACCTGCTTCGGCCTCCCAAAGTGCTGAGATTATAGGCATGAGCCACCATACCCAGCCTTCTCCTTATATTTCTTATCCCATCAGAACACTCCTTTGTTCTTCCCCATCTCTTCAACTTTATGCAGTCCACTAAGGCCCAGTGCAAGTCTCACATATTCCATGAAATAGAATGAACTTCCCATTGTATCTGAAATTGTTTGACTTGAGTTCTAGTCTGTAATGTACTACTTTCACTGGAAAATTTGGGGGCAAATAATTAACCCTGCTGGGCCTGTTTCTGAATATGCAAAATAAGAATGATTACACTAATACCTACTGTATCAACCTCCCGAGATCCTAGGAAGGATTGGATATGTGTTATAAAGTTTTGGCAAGCTGCTAAGTTGTATACAAATGAGAGAAAATATTGTCCACTGTGACCACTCATAACTGTCACTTTATACCATTTTAGTGTCCAAGTCTGTATAGCATATAACACAGCACTGAGTTATGTTCTGTCCCATCAAATTCTCTCATTGTCTTATGGATGCTAATCATTTTTCCTCAGCTTGGTTTTGAAGTCTCTAAATATAACACAGTGTCTAATATTACCCCTCTAACCCAGGCATTGCTGTTGATGACTAGTCTTATCTAGATGAGTCCTAGCTGGTAAGGTCTGGATAGAGTCACAGTGAGATTTAGGTATAAGTGGATAAGTCAGTGAGGCATCAGTGTTCTAGAATTTTCCTGGAGTAGAAAAGTCTTAAATTGAAAGAGTTCAAGAAGACTTGGATTAAGGTTAGCATACACCTTGTGAAGTCTGTGTACTGTAAATTTAGATTTTGTTTCTTGGATATAGTCACTGAATTCTTTTTTTTTTTAATTGTACTTTAGGTTCTGGGGTACATGTGCAGATCATGCAGGATTGTTACATAGGTGCACACATGGCAATGTGGTTTGCTGCTTCCATTCCCCGGTCACCTACATCTGGCATTTCTCCCTATGTTATCCCTCCTCAACCTCCCCACTCACCCCTTGCTGCCCCTCCCTTGGCCACCCCCAATAGACCCCAGTGTGTGATGCTCCCCTCCCTGTGTCTATGTGTTCTCATTGTTCAACACCCTCCTATGGGTGAGAACTTGTGGTGTTCGATTTTCTGTTCTTGTGTCAGTTTGCTGATAATCATGGTTTCCAGATTCATCCATGACACTACAAAGGACAAAAACTCATCATTTTTTTGGCTGTGTGGTATTCCATGGTGTATATGTGCCACATTTTCCTTGTCCAGTCTATTGTTGATGGGCATTTGGGTTAGTTCCAGGTCTTTGCTTTTGTAAACAGTGCCTCTATGAACATACATGTGCATGTGTCTTCATAATAGAATGATTTATAATCCTTTGTGTATATACCCAGCAATGGGATTGCTGGGTCAAATGAAATTTCTATTTCTGGGTCCTTGAGGAAGCACCACACTGTCTTCTACAATGGTTGAACTAGTTTACACTCCCACAAACAGTGTAAAAGTGTTCCTATTCCTCCACATCCTCTCCAGGATCTGTTGTCTCCAGATTTTTTAATGATCGCCATTCTAACTGGCATGAGATGGTATCTCAATGAGGTTTTGATTTGCATTTCTTTAATAATCAGTAGTCACTGAATTTTTATAGCAACCCTTATTAGGCATGCTTACTGTTGGAAAGAAGCAGCAAGAATGTTCTTCAGACCTCTCACCTGGCCTTTGGTTATCTCAATCAGAAAGGTCAGGCTACCTAATCATGATATGTTGTTAAACATGGTCTCCTGATGATTTGCTTATAGATTATGCATTTAATCTGAAATTTACTTCTCAATTTTGATTACCTAGTTTCTGGAGTCCTAAAGAATACTTTTTTCCTAACAGATCTACCCTGAAAAAAGTCAGCTGTAAGGTTAAGATTAGGATGAGTGAGAAGAGATAGGGATAAGGATAGAGTTAGGGTTAGCACTACCTTTAGGTTTATAGTTAAGGTTATGTTTAGGTTTGTGGTTAGTGTTGGGTTAGGGTTTAGTTTAGGATGAGGGTGAGATTTAGGTTTAGGCTTATGGTTAGCATTTATGCTAGGGTTAGTGCTTGTGTTGACTCTGCCCTTAAGGCTACAGGTTAGGGTTAAAATTAAGGTTAGGATTAAATTAGATTCCAGGACACAAAGGACACTTTCACAAAAAATATTCTTGAAAATTTTACTTTGTATGGTAAAAGAAAACATCTTCCACATTTTTACCCATTTCCTCGGCACTAGCAAAACACCACTGTAGCAGAATGCCTATTTTATAGTATTCCACGATTAAAAACTATACAGATTTCCAGAGTTGTTCAGAGTATTTTTTAAATCTCTAGTACTGAAAAGGCAAGTAACACCTTAATGTCAATGTTAACACCCAAAAGGTCAATTTGTCAATAGTATTTAATTTACACTGCCTTCAACCCCTGACATTCCCAGCCACCAACATAAAAGCTGATACCATTAAAGTAAAATGCCATGATCTGGAACACACTTACATTTTATCTGAAAAACATTATATATATATATGTGTACATATGTATATGAATCACCATAAACCAAAACACAATCTGTTTAATAAGGTTTCCAAGTCATTAGATGTTACCCAAATAGGTATTTCAGCCAGACCTCATGCCCCAACAACTTGAGTATCTAGTGATTGAATGATGTTCCCACATAGCACCTGAACTTCAGTAGGTCCAAACATGGTCTCTACAGCCCTCACCCAACACACCTGCTTCTCCTTCTTTTCTTCCATTTGCTTTAATGGCAGCATCATTTACCAAGTGCTCCAAACCAGAAACTTTTCATCCACTCATTTTTCCTCACCTCCCACTGTCCCATCCTGTTGTAAAAATTACTTCAAACCTTCTTTCTGTTCCTCTCTTCGGCTTTATTATTTCCTGCCTAAACCATTTGCAACAGCCTCTTAAACAACCTTCAAATAACTTTCCCACCTTCAAGCTCTTCATTGTCCAATCTGTCCTCCCCACACTGTCACCAAAATATGCCATCTTTGTTATGCCATCTACCAGTTGAAAAATCTTTGCTAGGTTCTATTCTAGAGTCTTTTTCACTCCTTTGTTGGCCTGGAATTTTCCACTTCCTTCTTTGTACCCTCCCATACCTTGAACATCTATGGTTGCACTTACTGTAGTTTATTACACGTGTTTCCCTTGAGTAGATGATAAACTTCTCAAAATTAAGGTGATCTCGTTCACTCCTGTACAACCAGTTCACAGAACACTGCCTGGCACACGGTAGGTGCTCACAACATTTTGTTGAAAAAAAAAAAAAATAGCTTATGAGACCAAGTAACACTCACAGATCCTCTTTATATAATAGTGTGTCCGGTCCCAAAATAAAACTTATGCTGTGTAAGGCTTCTTAAAAAAGCACACCCTGCATTTTAACAGGAAGTTACAGATTAATAAACAGCTGACGGAACAAACGAAATAGCACCCAGTGAATCACCAGGGGACCATTCAATTGCTGCAAACTAGATTCAGGGAGAGAGAAGATGGGGCCAAAACGACATTCCACATTGATGGGAAGACTTTGCAAAGATGCTTGAAAGCTCTGGGTATCAGGGCAATGCCTATATTCCCACACTGTAGTGGAGATTCAGGAACAGAAAGAGGACATAGCAAAAGTGAATTGAGGGTACTATGTGAATACAGACACCAGATAAATACCAAATTTGTGGCCACAGAAGGTCTACCACAGCCTTCTTCATCCCTTATGTAACATAGAGCTTTGCATGTGGTATATGCTTAGGTTTTATGTTATTCTTCATGAGAATATGTGGTGACTATATACACAAGACATGGATTTACCTCTGGATTTCCTTCTGCATTTGCCACCATTGCAACACCAAGACCCCTCATCTTCCTCCTCCTCCACAGCATACTCAACATGACAAAGAGAATGAAGACCTTCCTGATGATCCACTTCCACTTAATAAATAGTAAATATATTTTCTTTTCCTTAGTTTTTCTCTAGCTTATATTACTATAAGAATACAGTATATAATACATATAATAGACAAAATACGTGTTGTTTATGTTATTGATGAGGCTTTCAGTCAACAGACTAGTATTAGTTAAGTTTTGAAGGAGTCAAAAGTTATACTAGGAGACGGGCATGGTGGCTCACACCTGTAATCCCAGCACTTTGGGAGACTGAGTTGGGCAGATCACAAGGTCAGAAGTTTGATGCCAGCCTGGCGAATATGGCAAAACCCCATCTCTATTAAAAATACAAAAATTAGCTGGGTGTGGTGGCAGGTGCCTGTAGTTCCAGCTACTGGGGAGGCTGAGGCAGGAGAATTGCTTCAACTGGGGAGGCTGAGGTTACAGTGAGCCGAGATTGCACCACTGCACTCCAGCCTGGGTGACAGAGTGAGACTCCGTCTCAAAAAAAAAAAAAAAAAGTTATACTCAGGTTTTTGACTTCGAAGAGTGTGGGAGAATGTGGGGGTAGGAGGGGCTGCCTTTAACCTCCTAGGTATTCAAGGGCTAACTCTATATAGTTTTCTGTAACTACTGGCTGTCCCCATGATGTAGAACTGAGACGAGGTTGGAGAAGTGGTTTCACAAATTTAAAATCAAAGAGCTCAGCTGCTGGTCTTCAATATAGAGCTGAAGGCTCAAAAGGCACCACCTTGGGCTCAGGCTGCATAGAGCAGATGCCTACCACCTGAAGCATGTCTCGTGGACATAATGTTAAAACCCAGCCCTTGAAGGTTAGAGCTGATTGAGAACTCCCATTGGCAGCTTTCTCCTGGAAAGGTGTATGTGGCCAGAGGAAACAGGAAAGGAGGACTGGCCAGCGACAGTATACAAA